ACAGAGAATATAGGCTAAAGGGGGAAACAAGCAAGACCCACTGTGGTAAGAACCGTGCTGGTGGCAGGCCCTTCGCAACCCCTTCCACCTCACCTTCACCCACCAGCGATGGGAGAGAGACTAGAAAAGGAGAAATAACTCCAACTTGGTGGGGTGGGAAAGAGGGTGAAGCGCTTCCCTGAAGGCTTCCTAGGGATCAGGTCACCAGGAGGACTCCAGCCTGGGAGGATGGAGTAGCTAGAGGAAGAAGGGAGCAGGGGCATTCTTCTAGATTTGGGGAGGATCAACGTGAAGGTACAAAGATGAAGAGGGGCAACTCACTTTTCTTTGCAGAGTTAGTTCTTATTGTGACCCCCTGTTCTCCCTCAACAGCTGCCCATTGGTATAAGTCTCAGAGAGAGGGCAGGAGAGGGTGCCACTCTATCAAACAGCTGCAAAAGAAAAAGTAGCCCTGGGTATTCCCAATTATTCATCTATAAGTCAGCTTCAAGTTCAGTACCACGTGCTAGTCACAGAATCTTAGAGTTAGACGGCATCCTTGTGGCCCCTTAGTCATACACCTTCCTCCAAGGCAAAAAAAATCTTTCCCCAAAAGCCCTGATAGTATTATTTATTCAATATATATATATATTTTTTTTAAAGATGACTGCTAAGGGAATCTTAACCCTTGACTTGGTGTTGTCAGCATCATGCTCTCCCAAGTGAGCCACAGGCCAGCCCTCAATAAATATTTTTTTGAGTAAGACGCTGAGGGAGTAAGACAGATGAGATACAGTCACTGCCCCGAGGGTGCTTACGCCACCACACTGAGGGAAGCTAAGGTACCTACCTTGGTGACTGCAACACCGGGCTGTGTATCCCAAATGTCATGACTAACAGAGGATGCAGAAGTAGGCATGCCTCAGGAGAGAAAGTTCTGCCTACTGGAATTGTTGGGGTGTGGCAGGTTTCCCCAAGATCAGACCTAGGTGGGGCATTCAAGATGGTGTCCACCCAGACTCAGCTCTCCTGAAAAACCCAAGGTAAGAAGGAAGCATAAGCGTTTTTTTGTTTTGTTTTGTTTTGTTTTTTGTCTTTTTGGTGACCAGCCGCACTGCGCTCAACCAGTGAGTGCACCGGCCATCCCTATATAGGATCCGAACCCTTAGCGGGAGCGCTGCTGCGCTCCCAGCGCCGCACTCTCCCTAGTGCACCACGGGGTCGGCCTATAAGCGTATTTTATTAGTCATGGAAAGAATGATATGCCCATTTGCAACAGAGACTACAGACAAGCTGCCCAGACGTTGCAAGTTCACCACCTCACAAATAGGCCTATTCTTCTTTTGGACAACTTAAATTTTGTGTGTGTATATATATATATATATATATATATATATACACATATATATATGTTATACATATAAAATGTTTATATATATTTCTTATGGATGATCTACCTGCCTCTAATCTCTGACCCTAGATCTTAATGTTATCCTCTAAATCTTCACAGAACATGTCTATTTCCACTTCACCCCTTTTCCCACACCCTCCACCCACCCCCCCAAAACAAGCGATAAAGTCCCTTTTTCTTGCCATTATTTCTCAAATGGTGGTTTCCATAGGCCTCGTTGTCCTAATGACTTCATGTGGACATCCTTCAGTTTATCAGAAATCTATTGGCAACATGTTATTTTTGTCCTTCCAACAAACATTCTCTTTCTTCTGGGAAGGGAACCCTAATTTCCTCTGGGGAACCACTGCACCCCACTCTTAGTCCATATGGCTGCCATGGGAGTGATTTTACTACTCACCTTTCCAGGGGTGAGCACGTGGCCCAGTCCTGACCAATGAAAGCATTCCCCCCCCCCCTACCAGTTGTAGTGATTGATTTAGGGAAAGTCATGTGACCCAAGGCAGTCCAATCAGAATGAGTCCTGGGACCTTTGTTAGAACTACTGGGATGGAGTTGTTCTCTTTGCATGAAGGCTGCTGGACTACTTGAATATACACCTGGAGTTAAGAGGGAGGACCACAAGGAGAATAAATCCAACACAAAAAACAATCAGAGCTGAGATACAGATAAAGGCCTCTATAAGTGGATCCAGTTTTTTTCTGGCTATTTGATTCATAAGTATCTTGGGTTAGGGTCCTTCAAAACAGAGCCTATAAGAGAGATCCAATGAACAGGATTTACTGAGGGAGGAAAAACCGCAAAGAGAAGAAGTTGAGCAAGACAGAAAAAGGAAAAGAGCCAAGCAATGCTGGGCTTGATCTTGAGGCATGTGCAACTTTTAGTACCCCAGTATCTGTCAGTCAGTGTCTGTGGGTCCTGAGGAAGTTAAGGTCTCCAAAGTTGTTCCCTTCAACTAAGGGCAATTCTCTAGAATTTCAGGCAGCTAGGAACCCTCAGCAGCCAATGGCCACAACAGCTGAGGGCTGGGTGCCCTGGCCTGTTAAGGATATCAGGCAGGGCACCATTTGAGTTTACCACAGTGGGCCAATACATTCCCTCCTGAGTTGGGTTTCTGTTGCTTGCAACCAAATCATAATTACATAAAATACTCAGGTGACACCTGACTGCCACAGAGTACAGTGAGACCAGGGCCTCCTTTGATCTGACTCCCTACATCTGTTTTTAAGCTATGCAATTTATATTTGCTTTAGCAAATTTAGCGGCTGCACTGACCCCTTTGACTCAAACTAAGTTTATATCCAATCCTTCGCACACCCTTCCCTCTAGATCTTGTTCCCCACAAACTAATACTAAGCCAAGTTCACTCTTTATTATACTTCTATCATTGATTCTTTAACAGAAAAGTCGGACTTTGAGCCTAACCCTGCTAATAAGTAGCAGCCGGTTGTCATTTTGTTCATTTCCATCCTTTGCTGCAACTTGCTGAAAACATGTGCGGACTCCATTCTGTCCCCAATCCAACTGGCCACCACTTCTAATTTTGTTGCATTTGCTAAAAGGAGTCAGCCCAATAACAGAAACCTTCAGTAAACCACTAGAGATTTATTTCCTCTCTTTCTTACCTGCTAATCCATAGGCCTGAAAACGTATCCCCACCCCACCCCTCCTTTTCCTCTCTGTCTCTCTTCCTGGGGAATCTCTCCAAAGGAATTTCCCAGGACTTGACCAGCCCCGTCCTTAGCACATCCTGTTCTTTCCTGTTTCTTCTTCTTCTCCTCCTCCTCCTCCTCCTCATTCTTCTTTTTGGCTTAAAACAACAGAAATTAGTTTTCTCATAGTTCTGGAGGCCAGAAATCTGAACTCAAGGTGCCAGCAGGGCCAAGCTCTCTTCCAGCTTCTGGTGGCTCAAGCAGTTCCTTGGCGTGGGGCTTCAGTCTCTGCTTTATCTTCACATGGGTCTTCACATGGCCTCTCCATGTGAACAGGAGGTTCCTTCTTAAGTCTTTGTTCAGGTTAGCCCTTTTGCCTAGAATGTTCTCTCTTTTCTACATCTATTCAAATCCCAGTTCACATCCCACTTCCTCCAGGAAGCCCTCCGCTATTCCTCCAACCTCTGTGGAGCTTTTCTTTCTCTGACAATCTGTGTCAAGCACAAAGCTAAGTGCATCATCTTGGTTCATCCTTGTGGTAACCCTGAGGTAGGTGCTGCTATGATCTTCATTCTCCAGATGAGGAAACTGAGGCATAGGTGAAATAAGTAGCTCGCCCAGCATCACACAGCTAAAAACTAGCAAACCCAGGCTACAGACACTAAAATTAGAACTCCAGATGGAATTCAATAAACATTTGTTGGCTACACACAAGGAACTAGAGGAAATTAAAAATGTGAAATAGACAACTCTTGCCCACAAGAACTGGGTCCGTAAATGATGCTAATATGGAGAAAAACAGTAGAAATGAGATGAGAGAAGGGAAAGTTCATGTCTGGTGGGAAACCCAGTAAGGCCACAGGAAAAAATTTATGTTTGACAAGCGGGAATGAGGTGGGGCATTCCAACTTAGGGAACACTCTGAGTAGCAGAGTGGAGGAAGGAAAACATAGAACATGTTTGAGCGAGCAGTCATCTGGTTTGTTTGAAAGATAAGGCTTGAAAGTTTGGTTGAGGCCCTGCTGTAAAAAGTAAAGAATAGCAACCTGAGGAAGGCATTGTGCTTTTGAAAATGAGATCCAAAACTGTCTTAAGATTTACCTGGTAATTTGTCGACTAGATTGGAAGGAGAATGAAAATTGGGGAAGATAAATTAGAAAACAGAAGACCACTACTGTTATCCAGCCAGGAGGAAATAAGGACCTACAAGTGTGGGGACAGCTGGCATGGATTTTTTCCTCTATGCTCTGTAAATACTTTCTCTCTGTCTCTGTCCCCTAGAGATCATAGCATCCTTGAGAAGGAGCAATCATTTTTAAAAATATACCCGTAACCTCTAAACTACTAACAATTTCTTGAGACATAGTAAGCACTCAGCAAATATTTTTGGAATGAATTGAGCGCCTGAGCAGGGTGATAAAAACGCTAGGGCCCTGTTTAAATGGTTTTGTTGGAACTTGGCCTATACCTGACCTGCAATCAATCATCTATAGTATTACTTGATAACAAAACTAAGCTAGTTTTTAATTAGCACCTACTGTGTACATCAGCATTTCATTCAGTTCGCCCAACAACACTTTATGGTACGTACTAGCATTATCTCCATTTCAAAGATGAGAAAAACGGGGGATCAGACAAGTGGAGCGACCAACCGTCCCAGTTTGCAGGGACAGAGGGAGTGAGAGGCGGGATTTTTCCCCCAGGGAAACTGAGAAAGTTGGTCACCCTGCCAAGATACCTTGCCTGCATCACACGAGCTAGGGTTTAAACACAAATCTGATCATCTCAAAGCCCCATAGGATTTTATTTTGGCTTTTTGATCAATGCAGTCAATATAAATGTCTTCTTCGGGTACTTTTGGGACAGAATCCAAACATACTCTTGTATTGAATTTGACTGAAGTTTTCGGGGTCTACTTGAGACTGGAGGGAAATTTAGAGAGTCAGAGAAGCAGAGAATCACAAAATGGATGTTTATTTGTGTGTTTGTTTCCCAGAGAGAAAAGGAGTCCAGGCTGGGAATGTCTTTCCTGGAGAACATCTTTACTGAGGAATTCGGCTCTATAAGCTGTTCTTTGGCGCCGCCACGTGGTAAAGGGCCATAATTCCTTTTTTACCCCCTAGATTAGAGAAGAGGAAACAATGGTAAAGAGCAAGAGGTGAAACTGAACTGTAAGTTCTCATTGCTTGCGGGATGTAAAGATTATGTTATAGGGCCGGCCCGGTGGCGCACTCGGTAGAGTGCGGCGCTTGGGAGCGCAGTGGCGCTCCCGCCAAGGTTTCAGATCCCATGTAGAGACCATCCGCTCACTGGTTGAGCACAGTGCGGGCGCGACACCAAGGGTTGCGATCCCGTTACCGGTCATGAAAAAAGACAAAAAGGAAAAAAAAAAAAGATTATGTTATGAAAATAAAAACTAGCAAAGATTCTTTTTTTTTTTTTTCCAAACAAAAGTTGGCCAGAATGTCATAGTCTAGGGTGAGGAGAATTCGACACAAAATTTAAGTGGATGCCAAAAAACTCAGTAATCAAGATAAATAATATTTCAATGCAATAGTTCAAAAAATCAATATTAATGCCCCCAAAAGCCATGGTGAACTGAATATAAAAATGATAAATACCAAACAGGCAGGATCTGATCTGCACTTGCCCCACCCGTCCTCACTTGCCCACCCTAATCCTAACCCACAGAGCAGTGACAAAAGGGCCAAGGTAGCCAGCCCTATCCAGAATGCTCTGATTGAGGACTCCTGAAGGGGCACCTTACAATCGCACTATAAGAAACACTATAAGAAAATAGAAGTAGTACTTTATAGCTTTTCCACCAAAGAAGCTTCACAGAAGAGAGAACATACCCCTGCCAGGAGCAGCCAGAAGGGCTGCAGCAAGCAAGAAATTTCTTTTTCCTTTTTGTCTTTTTTCGTGACTGGCAACGGATCGCAACCCTCAGTGTCGCGCCCGTACTGGACCGGGACCGGCAACGGGATCGCAACCCTCGGTGTTGCGCCCGCACCTCGCTCAGCCAGTGAGCGGGAACCAGCCTGTATGTGGGATCCGAACCCTCGGCGGGAGCGCCGCCGTGCTCCCAAGTGGCGCACTGTAGCAGTGTGCCACCGGGCTGGCCCAAGCAAGAAATTTTTTTAAGGCTCTTGCTTAGGCACATTTTTGAATTTAACCTCACAATATATTCATTTCTGGTTCTGTTTACTTTTATTGAAGTATATATACTTCAGACGTGTTTAGAAAAGTGCATTTATCAGGCTGTTACTCAGTTGGTTAGAGCGCAGTGTTATAATATCAACATTGAGGGTTCAGATCCTCCTCTAGCCATACACACACAAAAAAGATTGGTTCTAGAAAAGTGCATGTATCATAACTGTACAGCTCGAAGAATTTTCACAAAATGGGACATATGTTTTTAACCAACACCCACATAAAGAAAGAGAACATACCAGGACCCCAGAAGTCCCTTTCATGTCCCCTTCCAGTCACTACCACCCCCGGGTAGCTCCATCTTAATGTTTGACCACACAGATTAGTTTGCCTACTATTGTTCTTTATATAAATGGAGTGATCCAGTCTAAAGTATTTCGAGTTTGGCCTATTTTGCTCAAAATTTTGTTTGTGAGTTTCAGCCATATTTTTGTGTGTGATTGTAGTTCGTTCATTCTCAGTGCGTTGTGTGAATATGCTACAATGAATTTACCCGTTCTGCTGATGTGTATTTGGGTTGTCTTCAGTGTGGTATGACTAATAGTGCTGGTATGAATATTCTTATGCATGTCTTCGGTTAACATATATGCATGCATTCCTGCTGGAAACGGAATTGCTGAGTCACAGGGAAGGCATATTTTCAGTTTTAGTATCTACTGCCCATCAGCTTTCTAAAGTAGTCGTACCAACTTACACTAGTGTAAATTCACTCCAGTGAGAGTTCTTGTGGCTTCACATCCTTATCTAGACTTGGTATTTTTGGTCCCTTTTATTTTATTCAGTCAAGTGGTAGTGGAGTGGTGTCATATTACAGTTTAATTTGCATTTCCGCGGTGAGTGATGACATTAAGAATCTTTTCAGCTTCTTTTGTGAAGTGTCTGTTCAAGTCTTTTACCCATTTTTCTGTTGGGTTGTCTATCTTTTCCTTATTGAGTTTTTTTTTTTTAATTCTGAATTTGAGACCTTTATCAGATAAATGTATTGAGGATATATTATCACATTCTGTCTTTTTACTCCCTTAATTACTGTCTTAATGGTATCTCTCAATGAATAGGGGCTCTTAGTTTTAATATAGTTGTTTTAATACTTTTTTTCCATTTATGATTAGCACTTTTTGTTTCTTGTTTGTGAAAGCTTTGCCTAGTGCAAGGTCACAAAGATGTTCTTCTATGTTTTGCTCCAAAAGCTTTATTTATTTGTTCATTCAAATGAACAAATGGGGCCCCTGCCCTTGTTTTCTACATTTTCTTCCTTCCTCATATAGGGGCCCAAAATGACAGCAGACTGGCTCAGATCAGGCAGAGCCTTTTAAGCCTTGATTAAGAACTTGGACTTTATCTTGTGTGCAGTGGGGAGCCACTGAAGGATTTTAAGTAAACTAGGTGACCTGAGGAGATGTGTAGTTCTTACATCTTTTTTTATAACTTTTTTATTATAAAATAAAACACAGATATGGGAAACCACATAAAACAAATGTTAAGCACAATGAATTATTACAAGGCAAACATCCTCGAAACCACCACGAAAGCTTCCAGGTCAAGAAATAGTGCTTTGCCAGCCTTCCCAGCAGCCCTTCCATGTCTCCCCCACCCCCAAAAGTAACCACTAGCCTCCCTTTTATCAAAATCTCTTTCGTTTCTTTATAGTTTTAGTGCTCAAATGTCATCCATTTTTTCAAATGTGTCTTTTAGGGCCGGCCTGGTGGCGCACTGCTACAGTGCGCCGCTTGGGAAGCGTGGCGGCGCTCCCGCCGAGGGTTCGGATCCCACATACAGACCGGCCGCTCACTGGCTGAGCGAGGAGCGGGGGCAACACTGAGGGTTGCGATCCCGTAGCCGGTCCCGGTCCGATATGGGCGCAACACTGAGGGTTGCGATCCGTTGCCGGTCACGAAAAAAAATGAATTATTACAAGGCAAACATCCTCGAAACCACCACGAAAGCTTCCAGGTCAAGAAATAGTGCTTTGCCAGCCTTCCCAGCAGCCCTTCCATGTCTCCCCCACCCCCAAAAGTAACCACTAGCCTCCCTTTTATCAAAATCTCTTTCGTTTCTTTATAGTTTTAGTGCTCAAATGTCATCCATTTTTTCAAATGTGTCTTTTAGGGCCGGCCTGGTGGCGCACTGCTACAGTGCGCCGCTTGGGAAGCGTGGCGGCGCTCCCGCCGAGGGTTCGGATCCCACATACAGACCGGCCGCTCACTGGCTGAGCGAGGAGCGGGGGCAACACTGAGGGTTGCGATCCCGTAGCCGGTCCCGGTCCGATATGGGCGCAACACTGAGGGTTGCGATCCGTTGCCGGTCATGAAAAAAGACAAAAAAAAAAAAATGTGTCTTTTAAATCTCTGAATCTACAGGTTCTTCCTCCATGGAGGAAGAGGAGGTAGCCTTCATGGCTGATGCCCAGTCTTCCATTTTACCCCTGAAACGTTTGTTCTAAGCCGTTCACAGTAACAGGCCAGGCCTCCTGGCAATTGCTGACTTATGAGTGGGAAGTTACCCAATACTGGTCAATGAGAGAGAACAGATGTCTGTTGGGGGGCTTTGGGGAAAGGTTTTCTTGCTCCTAAGCTCTTCCTCCTCCTAAGAGGATGTTACTTGGATGTGACATCCAGAACTGCTGCAGCTATCTTGTGACCACGAGGAAAACTAGACTTAAAATGAAGCTCACAATGAGAAAGGCAGAGGAGAGAGATGAAAAAAACCTGGCACTTCTATGACGTTACTGAGCTGCTGATTGTAGCACCCCTGGAAGCTGTGTTTTCAGTTATGTGGCATAATACACTTTCTCACTGTTTAACTCATTTGAATTTGTCTAGAAGCAGTCTAAAAGAAACAGATCAATTAGTCAAAAGTGTCCATGTCACCAGGAAGTGGCACACATAAGGTAAGGTGAATGTACTTTGTCAGCCCAGTAAAGCTCCCAGGGAATAACCGGCTCCTATTTCTTAGAATCCTTCTCAGTCCAAGTGATTTGAGTGGGTCTGAGCCTTCCCTCATCCCACAAGAAGGCCACACAATCATATTCTGGCCAAAGTACTCCATCTCCCTGGGATAGGGATGTAACCAAACCAGGCCAGTCAGATGCTCCCTGGGACTTTTGCCAGAGTCATTCAAGAAAGGTGCCCTCTTTTCTCCTCCAAATTCCAAAGCTGTAAAGACAAACATAGGTTCAGAGATGCCAGCAGTCATCTTGTCAGATGGCAAGAGAAGATTTGAGAATAAAGTCCAATGATGACAAACAGTACCAGAAGGTAGAGAAGAGAGAGGGGCGGGGTCCTCATGACATGATTGAACCCCCTGGATGGAGCCATGCCTGAAGTCCTCAGCATTTTGAGGCAAATCATAAAGTGGGGGATGATAAGGACTCAGCAATTAGGTGGACTCTGTACTCTGAGTTGGAGGAACAGGTTATCCTTGTTTCTCTCCCTACCAAAGTTCTGCCTGACTGGAACAGTGTTCTGAAGTGATTTTTTATGTGCCTGTTTGTGCTGCCTTCCTACCCACTCATTCTGGAGTGATTATGTTTTCTTGCCTGAATGGACAGGGATACTCAACGCCCCACTGCACCCGAGTCTTAGAAAGCCAGAGTGCAGAAAAGACCAGCAGCAGCAAAAAGGCCGATTAGAGTCAAGCTAAATGATTATATCACACTAGTGGTCCCAGCTCCCGACAGTTTGACAAAATGTGCCTCACAGTTGCAGCAATAAAACACGGACTTCACAGGAAACTCACAGCACAGAGGGCAGGGCAACTTGGTGGAGAGACAGGCCTGGTTTTGAAGCCTGGCTCTGCCTTGCTAACCAAGTGGACTTGGGCAATTTATTAAGTGTCCCTGAGTTCCAATCTTGTCATCTGGAAATTAGGACTCATCAAATGTGTTGTTAATAAACACCCACCCCTGCCCTGCTGCGGGCTCAGCTTTCTCTGACATACAGTGAGAAAGTGAAAGTTCTCAGGTCTCTCCCAGGTCTTCACTGTCTGTGTGTCACCTCCCACTCCCAGCTGTGTCAGGGGCACCCTGCACCTCGATGTGGGTTGGTACCTGGACTCCTGGCCTCATCCTCTCAAGGTGTGCTGCTTCCCAAACCCAGGCACAACCAGGCACGCTGCCCCTGCCACCCCGGGGCCTGATGGGGTCCTGAGGCAGAAACCAGGGGAAGCCAAACCCAGCTGCAACCAGGTAAAAAGCACATCAAAAACACCATTTCCACGCAAGTAGCCCACCATAGCCACCGCAGTTGCCATGGCTGCCGCAAAAGCAGCTAGTCACTAAAGCAGTAGTCACAGCCACCACGCAGATGGCACGCTGGACACTCAACTGCATTGACACAAGGAGAGGTACCAGGAGAGACCAAAAATAAATAAATAAATAAAAAGAATAGGTCCTCTCTCTCCACAAAGCACACTCCAGAGTAATAGAAGAAGCATCTGATTTACGATAATAGTGGGGGACCTGATCACACCTGTCTCAGTACTGGACAGATCATCTAGGCAGCAAACCAACAGAAGAGCAGGTTAACCTGTCAGGAGGAGAGAACAAATCTATGGTTATTAAAGCAGGGAAGGGGAGTGGGATAGGAAGAGATTGGATAAGGGGCATAAAAAACAAGTACAATTTGAACAAAAAAAAGTACAATTTGTAATAATGAATATACTAATAAAATAATAACAATAATAATAACAGTAATAATAAAAGTGTGCTCCTTCCACAGGCCCCAGGCCAAAGGTTCTTGCTTCCTTTTTTACCTGGGGTCTCTATTTCCACACACCATGGTGTGTCCCACACTTCACAGAAGGGTTGGAGTGATTACAGAGAACTTGAAGCTGTGGCCTAGCCCCGATGGTAATGAGATGGAGAAAATCATACTTGCTGGAATTCCTTTCAGGGGAAGCACTGTTTATTTGTTCAGAAAACAAATCCCTTGATAAGCCCACGTGGGAGAGAAGTTGAGCCCCCAGGAGGCCTGAGGACTGCTAGAATTCTCCTAAGTGACTGAGAGAAAAGATTTTCTGATTACTCTGGAACACGGTGGGGGGTGGGAAGAGCAAGGGTCTTGGGATGTGGCCCCTCCTTGAATCTCCAGTGATATGACCATGTTCATGAAAAACCAGAGGAATGGTTGCTTTGTGGAGCCAGGGCAAGGGGCTAACCTTGTCTCCTGAATGTTTACCTCAACCTCTTGAGCGCAGAGAGACCCCAGCTGACCCCTGGGTTGGGTGGCTTTGTTCCAGAGTCCCAAGAAAAAGCACCTAAGTAATAGAATCTTCCCAAGAGGGCTCTCACTGGTTGCGCCTCCACTCCTGATCTGACTCCCCGTTCCAACTGCCTTGAAGCAAATCCCCACTCACCTTTCAGGAAACCCCACTCTTGAGGGATTCTTGCCCTGTCCCTCCAGCATCTCACTTCTCCAAGTGTGAGTTGGCACATAGTAGGTGCTCAGTATTTGTTCACTGACTGAAGCAGTGATAATGGGCATTTGTAGTTGGCACCCTGCAAAATAGTCCAGGGAGAAAAGGGGACTTGTGGGACCTAAGTATGGCCAGAGGAGGCAGGGACCCTTCAAGCCAAGTCTCCCCTTAGCTTTTGGTTTACCTGTGTGTGAGTTTCAGGTGCACTTTGTCTAAGAAACTTCTGGAGCAACCATAGACATACAGACATTCCTCCCAAGATCAAACCTTAATTCTTCAAGAGTGTTGTCTAAACCCATAAGGAAGCAGAAAAATACTCTCTTATAATCCTCAAAATTTGCAAAGTGTCTCTCTCCCAAGGAGTTAGTATAAGTTCCCTTGCTCCACCGTTCCTGACCCCAAACAGCCTTTTAGACCTGCAAAAAATAAAAATTAGGAACCCAAAGCTCAGTCCCATACCCATAAAAGCTTTGAGATCAGCTCCTATAAGGAAGATGGGAAGGGAGCAGTTCCAGAATCTTCTAGGTAGGCTGCTTTACAGGGAATAAACTGGGATAAGATAAAATGCAGAGCAGAATTCTCAGCCCCTAGCAAGGGCCCAGCTATTGTCAGTCTTTTGCATATGTCTCCCCAGTGCCTGCCATGGTGTCCAGCACATAGTCAACACTTAATAGGTGAGTGAATGAGGTACTCCATTTGCCCCTCCCTGATTCAGAGAAAACATTTTGTGACCAAGTATGCAGTAGGAAAGGAAATAAGAAATTCTCAGGGCCAAAGCTGCTGTGACATCTGCTATCCCTCATCCTGCTAAAGGCAAATGTGTGCATAGCACATGCTACATGCAGGCCACCATTCTGACCCCTTTACTTTACTGACATGTTAACTCATTAGTCCTCACGTGAGTTGGTGGAAAGTGAGGCACAGAGGCAGTAAATGGTAGAGCTGTGATGGAAACCCAGACCATGTAGTGCCATAGTCCAGTCTCCTAGCTACAATGTGCTGCTTAGCTGTGGCCGTCTAGCTCTCTGTGGGCTGAGTGAGGGCTAATCTCCACCAGTCACAGGCCCCACCCTCCATGAGCCAATCAACTTTGTTGTGTTCCTTTCTTTGCTCATTCAATAAGTATTTATTGAACACCTATTATGTGCCAAGCACTGGTGTAGGTACCTGGGGTTTGTCAATGAGCTAAGACAAAAATCTCTCATGGAATTTGCATTTTATTTGGGGCAAAGCAGCTAATAATATATTTCTGGTCATGGTGGACTAGAAAAATCATACCAACATGCTCACTAAAGACAACTTAAAAAGCTGAACAAAATATACAAAGCATCTTTTTAAAAGCATAAAAGAGCTAAGAAGAGAGTGGGGAATTACTGCCTAGGTGGTTCTTTACTTGACAAATATTGACATATCTAGCTCTCAGAACCGTCCCCTGGATTGTTCTATGAAAATAGGAGTACCTGGTACATGGTCAGTGCTGTATAAGGTTAAATAAGTTGGTGTGTCTAGAACTTTGATTATATTATCTCATATAATATGTTGTGAGCCTCACAACATCTCTATGAAGTCCTATTATTCACTGTTATCTATTTTTACAGATGAAACAGAGAGTTTAAGCAACTTTCCTAGGGTCATATAACTAGTAAGTGGCAGAACCAGGCTTTGGGCCCAAGCAGTCTGACTCCAAAGACTGCATGTTAAACCACCATCCATGCTACCTCTTGGCAAACAGCATCTATTGTTTTTCTACTAGCTTTAATAGAAAGACAGCTCTAGTAGGAATGTTATTGTTGCCTTGTGTATGAAGAAATGACTATATAATCTCTACTGAAATACCATTTTATGCAAAGACATTTTAAAATGGAGAAAAAAAGCTACAGTCCAAAGCAAAACCTACTGGTGCTACTCAAACTGTAGACAAAAATTAGTGGGGGGCAGAGGGTCTCTCTTTAGGGCCAAGATAGTGAACTGAAACAGTTTGAGAGCAAATGTCATTGAAGGCCAGGTCTTTGTAACCACTTGATCCTACCTCCACTCAGCCAGTCTAGGCCAGAGTGCTCAGACAGCAGGGCAGGGATGGGCAGATGTCCTCAGTTCTCCGCTTCCCTTAACCAGTAGGAACCTGTGGAGGATACCAACATTAATAAAGCAAATGTATTTCACAGGGTCTAATTTTTTAGAATTGCACATAGAAATGTTAAGCTCAGGAAAGACAGAAAACTTTCTCTGGGCTAAAGTCTCTGTTGTAGATTAAAGAATTGTAACACAGCAAAATTGCTGGCTCTAAGGGCAGATGCCCTTGGTGCAGCTAAACCTAATGATTGTTGCCATGACAAATATCTTATTGTTCTTTTTGTAACCAGCTATGTTCCTTTTCTGTAACTTTCTTCCTTGGAGAATAAAAACGGAGAGAGAACTGGATTCAAGGCTATTCCCGGGATATTTCTTCTCTTGAAAGAATTATTTCTGGGGGTAAACATTTTCAGGCCTCTCGCTGCTCAGAAGAAATGGGCTTTGAGTAATCCTTTGCGTCTCTGTCACCCTGGGGAGAGGTGACAGGAACCCAGGGTGGGTGACAAGTGGGATGCAATGGTTAGGTCCATGGTGTTCAGACTCAGACTATTACCTTAAGCAAGAGACTTTAACAGCGTTTTCGCAAAATGGGAATGATAATATGTTCCAGTGGTTATAGATGCACCACAAAGAAAATATGCCAGCAACTGCGCTAAGACAGCGCACAGTGTCTTAACAGTCCCCTCGCTTTAAAATTCCTCTCATCTCTTCTGAGATTCCACAATCTCTTCAGCCTTCAGTTGCATTGTGTGGTGTATGATACACACGCCATTTTTTTTATCACTATCTCAGGAACAAAATGTAACACAACTTCTACTTGTGGGTAACTTCCTATCTTAGATTTTATAAAGCACTTCTTGTTGCTTTGTAAGACAAGGGCAGTCATTCCTACAGAGAAAAGTCATTTCGCTAACAGTAACTTCACTCCCTTTTGCTCAGTAACCCTGCCTTTGTCTCTACATAAACACTTTTTATCCAAGTGCTGAATCACAATATAATCTTCTGAAGACATTTTACATAGCACTAAATCCAGTACATGCAGTGCCAACAGTACCCCTAACTCAGCTGAAGACAATCCCCGAATATTCTCAGTGTCTCAAATTCACAATGATGGCTCTACAGGATGTTGCCATTAATTGTAAGATGCACTCCTAATCTCAGAGATGTTAAAATGAAAAACAAAACAAAACTATGCTTTAGAATTAGTTAAATGTGGTAGTAAACACTGGTATTGACTGGGATTGTCTTTCAACCGCAAGTGACAGAAAACTGAGTGACAAGCAAAAGCAGCACGCTGAGCCACGGAAGCCTGCACGTCTGTACTGTACAGGGATTATCCCAGCTTCGGGGATGGCTGGATGTAGGACTGTCTCCCACCATTTCTCTCTGTTCTGCAGGTTGGCTTCAGGCTCAGGTTCCCCACCGTAGCGAGCGAGCACCAGCCGCTCCGGCCCGGCCCGTCCCGCCGGGGTTTTCAGTCCAGCACAAAAGAACGAGTATCTTCGCTCCAGAATGTTTAGCCTGAGTCTCGATGCCTCTCATTGGCTCTGACAATCACACGCCCAGCCCTGGGCCAATCAGCGTGGCCACACCCGGTACTTCACGACCGTCCTCCCCCGTGCCTTGCCCGCCGCCCAGGGGCGGGTGCGGGGCGGCAGGAGCGGCGGACGCGCCTCCTGGGCGGGCTGCGGGGAGCGCGGCGAGGTGAGGGCGGAGCGCACCGCCTCGCCGGCCAGTCAACCTGCGCAGCCTCGCCATCATACAAGATTCACTTTTTTGGTGTACAGTTTGTACAGATAACTCATGATAGGCTGTTTCTACAGGCCTGTGAAGTCAGGAGAAAATTGGAAAGAGAAAAAGGACGCTGTGACGTGCGCATGCGCCCCGAGGGGGTGGGGCGAGAGACACGGCCGCCCGCCCAGGCCGCCGAGACCCGGGCGGCACTCCCGGCTGCCACCGCCCCACGCCCCTCCCCATCGTGAGCTCCGCCCTGCGGCCACCCCGGCCCTTCCCTTCAGGCCCTGAGCCAGCTCTGCCCTTCCGCGTCTTTCAAACCGAAGTTTCCAGGAGCAGGACAGGGGGCCTTGGGGGGTTGGTCAGCTCCACCTCCTGCCCTCCCCACCCCAGCCTGCATGATCCCTCGGGACTTGTCGAACTCATCTCTTTGTCGCGTAGTGGGTAGGGGGAGAACAGAGGAGGCACGGTTAGGAGGGGATCTCAGAGGACAGGAGAGGAAACGGAGGACATAGCGACAGAAAGGAAAGGCGGGCCGTGCAGAACCACTCGAGCTGGACCGAATTCATCGTGGAGCACCTGCCCTGTGCCAGGCTCCCAACTAGAAAGTGTGGACACAAAAATAAATAGGACCGAGTCTAGTCTGGGAAACAGCCGTGGAATGTGCTAGTGCCTTAGCGGAGGCAGGGATATGGGTACTGAGGTTTATGGACGGAAGATACTTGTAGGAGAGGAAGTGAAGCAGGTGGGTGAAGGAGAAATTGCTGAGCCAGGTGTCAGATCAAGTGTAGCCTTGGCCTCGTCCAGAGGGGTGGGTGGGGGGCGTGGAGCAGGGCTGCACCACAGAGGAGTTCCTCTGCAAGCAAAGGGACTGGCCTATCCTACCTCCTTTCAAGCTTTGGATGCAGGCTGATGGGGAGGGGTTGGTGGTAACCTTTCTAGCAAGGAGGCTCCTGTCAGCCAAAGTCAGTTCTACACATAGGGAATAGCTGGGGGCAGCTGTGAGCCATTAGACCCAACACTCACAGCAGCTGGAGGATGGATGACCAACCAGGTAAAGCAACCTGGGAGGCAGAAACGCATCTGCCGCAGTATGTGCCATGCTAGGTGCAGGACAGGGTAGGGAGCAGAACACAGGTAGGGGGAGCTCGTGAAGGAGATAGGCATTCCGCAGCATCTTGAAGAACAGCTGACGAGGGGTCGTCGTGTGCACAAATTATAGGAGCATGCAGCTCTTTCTGGCAATGCTAAGATATTCAAGTATGACACTGGGCATAGGGCAGAAATAGGAGAAGGTGGCAGAAGAGGCCTGACAGGTGGGCGAAGGCCAGATCATGCAGGATCCTTACTGTGCCATACTAAAAAATTAGTTCTAAAAGGAACTAGGTTCTCATTCTGCCCTGCCTCAGTCCTTTCTGCAAACATTTACTCAGTGTCACAAGGCAAGCCAGCCCAGCCCTGTTCTGTTGAGTGAACTCAGAACCAGATGCTGCAGAACTTAAGTGGGGAGGGGACCACCACCAGTGGGCAAATTTCACCACCAGCGGGCAAATGGCCAAAGAGGGATGGCCATAGAGGGGCTGTTTCCAAGAGCTGAAAACATAGGGGTTGAGACCAGCTTAAAGTTAATTAAATTTCCTGGGCATCAGCATTTTGGAAGTAGGAAGAAAGTCTCATCACAGGGAAGCCCCGTGGAGAGGAATGAATGCAGAATCTGGAGTCAGAAATGCAGCAGGTCTGGGCTTGAGGCCCAGCTCCACTGTGCCAGCTGGATGGCTCTGGGAAAGTCACCCAACTCTCTGCTCTTCTGTCCCCACATCTGTCACTAGGGATCATATCTGTCACATGGAGTCAGATGGGATAAAGCACATATGTAAAAAGGCTGTACAAATGTTAGTTGCTATAATCTTGCCTTAAAAAAAACACAAACCCACAGCAAGCAGAATCCCAAGGCAGTCTCATTCTACTCCAGTTACTGTTTGGCACCGAGCAGGACAGGGACTTACTGGATGACACAACATGTCAGCTGCAGAGCCAAGGTGTGGATTCATCCAAGTTACTGACTCTGATGTCAGCAGAACCAGTTGAAACCCAACTTCATGCTGCATTCAGAGGCTGGGAGTGTTCCCAGGAAGCTCCTTTCAGCAAAAAATGTTCAAAGTGGTTCCCAGTTGGCAGCTCCAAGATCCTCCAAATGGTTGACAACATGTAGCTGGATGAGGTTCCCCGGAGTCAAGGCAAAATGGGAGACAAGGGTAGGAGACGAATGTTCAGAGTTGGCCATTTTCCCTAGAGGACTGGAGAGGAGACTGCATTTTTAAGCGTTTCGTCTGTCCACACCCCCCCCCTCTTAAATACAGATTTGTTGAGATATAATTCACATACCGTAACATGCATCCTTTTAAGGTGTACAATTCATGGCTGGCTGGTTAGCTCAGTTGGTTAGAGTGTGGTGCTGATAACACCAAGGTCCAGGATTCAATCCCAGCCAGTCACCAAAACCAAGCAAACTAAAGTGTACAATTCAATGGTTTTTAATGTATTCACAGAGTGAAACAACCATTACCACAATAAATTTTAGAACATTTTCATCATCTTGTAAAAGAACTTCTACACGTTAGTAGTCACTCCCTTTCACCCACCCCTCCTTTCCTCCTAGCTCTAGGCAACCACTAATTAACTTCTTATGTCTATAGATTTGCCTATTCTGGACATTTCATTAGATAGAATCATAACATGTGGACTTTGTGGCTGGCTTCCTTGACTTAATATAATGACGTCAAGATCATCCATGCTGTAGCATATTTCAGTACTTTATTCTTTTTTATGGATGAATAATACTCTGTTGTACGGATGTGCCATTTTAAAAATCCGCTCAATAGATGGGCATTTGGGTTGTTTTCACCTTCTGTCTATTATGAATAATGCTGTTACGAACATTACGAGTTTTTGTATGGGCACATGTTTCCATTTCTCTTGGTTATATACCTAGGAGTAGAATTGCTGCATCACGTGGTACCTCTATGTTTAACATTTTGAGGAACTGCCAAACTGTTTTCCAAAGTGGCTGTGCCGTTTTACAATTCCACCAACAATGTATGAAGATTCCAATTTCTCCACGTCCTTGTCAATACTTATTATCTGTCATTTGGTTATAGTTATCCTAGTGGGTATGAAGTAGTATCTTGTTGCTTTTTTAAATTTATGGTACAAATGCATAAAATATTTATCACTTTATTCCTAAGTGTACAATTCAGTGGCATAGATTACATTTCTTATTATTCCTTATTGTGGTTTGACTTGCATTTCC